TAAACCACATACTTACATATACACATACAGACCAGGCGCAGTGACTCACACTTGTAACCCCACAACTTTGGGAGGCTGATATAGGCAGATTGCTTGAGGTCAGGAGTTGGAGACCAACCTGGACAACATAGCAAAACCTCCTCTCTACCAAAAATATAAAATTTAGCCGGGTGTGGTGGCACCAGCCTGCAATCCCACCTACTAGGGAGGCTGAGGCCAGAGGATCACTTGAACCTGGGAGGCAGAGAGGAGACTGTACCACTGTGCTTCCAGCCTTGGCGATAAAGCAAGACTCTGTCTCCAAAAATAAATAAATAAATAAATGCCGTAGTACTTGCCTATACTCTATGCGCATCCTTCCATATACTTTTTAGACGAAGTCTTGCTCTATTGCCAGGCTGGAGTGCAATGACACAATCTTGGCTCACTGCAACCTCCACCTCCTGGGTTCAGGCGATTCCTTGGCCTCAGCCTCCCAAGTAGCTGGGATTACAGGTGCGCACCACCATGCCTGGGTAGTTTTGTGTTTTTAGTAGAGATGGGGTTTCACCATGTTGGCCAGGCTGGTCTCCAACTACTGACAAGAGATCCGCTCGCCACAGCCTCCCAAAGTGCTGGGATTTCAAGCATGAGCCACCAAGCCCGGCCTCTCATATACTTTAAATCATCTCTGGATTACTTACAATAGCTAATGTAATTGCTACGTAAACAGTTGTTGTACTGTTTAGGGAATGAGGGGGAAAAAAGTCTGTACGTGTTTGGTACTGACAGACACAATGTTTCTTCCCAAATATTTTATTATTAGCATAATTTTAATTTTCTTCCTTTTTTTGGGTGTACTTCAAGCACGCCAAATACTTTTGATCCACAGTTGGTTGAATCCATGAATGTGAACCAAATATATTGTATGTAATGGTATATAATAGTGTGTGCCCCATTTTGTTACATATGTGCTTGGAAAAACACTGAAAAGAATGTTAGTCATTATTTGGTAAGAGGATTAACATTTCGTTAACTTGTTCTATATTTTCCACATTTGGAATTATGAACTTATTTCACTTAAAAAAATTTTGAAAAAAGGTGGGAGCAGTGCAGGAGAGCGGTTGGAGAAAAAAAATTTTTTTAAATACATATATTTTTTGAGACAGTGTGTTGCTCTGTCACCCAGGACGTAGTATAGTGGCACAATGTTAGCTCACTGCTGCCTCCACTTCGCAGACTCAAGCAATCCTCCTGCCTCAGCTTCCCAAGTAGCTGGTACCACAGGCGCACCCCACCATGCCCAGCTAATTTTTTGTATTTTTGGTAGAGATGGGGTTTCACCACGTTGCCCAGGCTGGTGTCAGACTCCTGGGCTCAAGTGACCTGCCCACCTTTGCTTCCCAAAGTGCTGGGATTACAGGCATGAGCCAGTGCACCCAGCCTTATTTTACTTCTTAAACCAGGCTGAACATTTGTAACAGGTAATAAAACTGTGCACATAAAGATGAATATAATCCCCAGGTCCTACCCAATCAAAATTTCTGGGGTAGGGGAGGTGAGGGTGGGGGTAGAGGGACCAGGAATCTTTAAAAAGCTTTTAAAAAGTATTCTAACAAATGACAACCACAATCAAAACACATTTTTCCCACTCAACAGAGTGGGGAAAAAAGCCTGAATTTGCCAAATGTTACTGGTACATACTGCTGATTCGGGAATATAAATTGATAAAACCACTTGAGAGTAACTTAAGAGTCTGGTAAAGCTGAAAATGCCCTCATCTTAATTTTACTCCCAGGTACATATTCAAGAGAAATTAGCATAATTGCCCAAGGAGATATCTATACACACACACAAACAAAATGCTTACGTAGCACATCATTTGTAACAGCGAAAACTTGCATACTCAAATGCTCATAAATAGAAAAATGGATACATAAATAGTAATGTATTTATGCAACAAATACTTTAGCAAAAAACAAAAACAAAACAAAAACTAAAAAGAAATGCCCTGCAGGGCTGTCCAAGAAAACTTGCAGTGACAACGGAACAGACTGTAATCTATGCTATGCAATACAGATGCCAATAGCCACATGTGCTTACTGGTCACTTGAAATGTGACCAGTGAGACTGAGAAACTGAATCTTTTATTTTACTTTAATTAATTTAAATAGCCACCTGTGGCTAGTGGCTACCATAATGGACAGCAAAGCCCTAAAACAACATATAAACAGATGGCCCCACAAATGTGTTGCTGCTCTTTAAATGCATGTGGCACCATGCATACAATATAAAACCAATTTTTAAGCTTAAAAGCATGCAAAGCAATTCTATATATTGTGTGGAAATACATACATAAGTAGTAA